TCTCAATGGCAGTGTTTCTAATGCAACATGTGTTTCATCTCTCAATGCCAGTGTTTCTAATGCAACATTTGTTTCATCTCTCAATGTCAGTGTTTCTAATGCAACACTTGTTTCATCTCTCAATGCTAGTGTTTCTAATGCAACATTTGTTTCATCTCTCAATACCAGTGTTTCTAATGCAACATTTGTTTCATCTCTCAATACCAGTGTTTCTAATGCAACATTTGTTTCATCTCTCAATGGCAGTGTTTCTAATGCAACATTTGTTTTATCTCTCAATGGCAGTGTTTCTAATGCAGCATTTGTTTCATCTCTCAATACCAGTGTTTCTAATGCAACACTTGTTTCATCTCTCAATGGCAGTGTTTCTAATGCAACATATGTTTCATCTCTCAATACCAGTGTTTCTAATGCAACATGTGTTTCATCTCTTAATGTCAGTGTTTCTAATGCAACATTTGTTTCATCTCTCAATGCCAGTGATTCCAATGCAAAATTGTTTTATCTCTCAGTCAATGGTTGTGCCTAATAAAAGTTTACGTAAATCCTCTCCAGTTGTTTCATTCAGTAAAATTACCTTTCTTTGGAATTTTTAACACACCAGTCTTCCACTGATTTGGGATTATATTTTCTGCTGTCGTGAGGTGAGCAGCCAACCCTACACAACGGACGAGTCGGGACTTTGACTTCCCTCGCGCTCAGTCAAATTTCAAACTTAAACCCGTCTGGAAGGGTATATAGTCCCTTATATTGATATATACCTTGATCTGGTAATATATTCATCTCTAGACCCTCTAGTTGCTTTTATAAATCTTCATTTTCAAACTTGCAACTGTAGGTTGACGATTTCTGGTAATTTATTTAGAAATTCCTGTAAACCGGTTTACTCCTTGGGCAGGAATACAAGGGACTTCTTTCCTAGAGACGCTAGTTTGGTTTTGAAAAAAACATTCTTTCGCCTGATCCCAAAGTGTCTAGACGTGTATACAGTCTATGTAGAAATTGGCGCATTCAAAGTTTCAGTTCTATCTTGGAAGAATTCCTAAGCTTGGGTAAGTTGATTATAGTTTACGAGTACCATAAATTATGTCTTTTTAAAGTTGGTCACTGCTGCAGAGAGGGGAGAGTCAGCTGTGTGATCGCACAGAGTTGGGCCGTTCTTGATGTCCAGAGATCAGGCTCCGAACATTAAACCTCTCACTGTGCAGTCTAAGTAGTTTGTGCTCTACAGAACCCACACCATTTGTAAAGACTTTAAACCCTACAAGTAATTATTCTCTGACTAGACAAGCGTAGAGTTGTGCCGCCTAGCAGAAAAATGGTATCTGGGTCATCTTTTAAAGTAACTGCGTGACGTCAGTGTTAGACGCTCTGGGTCGAAAGTGTGTTTGACACAGATTCAGTGGGTGTGTAGTGAGCAGCCTGGGGAGACGTGGAATATATATAGGTACCAACTGTAAACATTGTATGTCTGCGAGTGCAGATGTTAGGGTGAAGAGAGGATGATCTATGTGTGGTAGTTCCTATCTATCTCCACTATATACCTTGTTTTCTATCTGTTGCACTAGTTTGTAGACAAATAAATGAAAGGAGACATTGTCTCCTGTTCTTGAGAGTTACACTCTGAGAAATGGAGAAGGATAGCAGAGGTGGGGTGAGCTGGTGTGATTAAAGTTGATTACTAATTCTGAGCTCTTTCCTGACAGGATGATACCTCCTTAAAGATCAGGCAGACGAATCAGAGTCCAGCCAACAACCACCAACCCATACCATTCTGGGCACCAAGCATACCCAAAAGTCCTGCTCATAGTGCCACTACCTCAACAAGGCAAGAGCTTGTTTGTGAGTTCCAGGACGAGTGGACAATTGCAGACATCTGTGTCATCAATCCAGAGAACCAGTCTTCAAGAGCTTTGTTGGGCTCTGATGCAGTTTTTGTGTCCTGACCTGTGAGAGTGACTTGTTGGTTTCCTGTGCAGTTCCTGTGTCCTTGATTGTGAGATAGTCAACTTGTACCAGATCAAATCAAAGCATAGATACCTGAGTCAACTACAGTCGAATCACCATGGACTGAGGGGAGCATTGACCTGCGAACTGGGCTAAGTGATCACTTATTCATTATCATGCTCCCTTCCCACAGCACCTTGAGATTCCTAGGATGAACTCATGTGAGATAGTCAACTTGTACCAGATCAAATCAAAGCATAGATACCTGAGTCAACTACAGTCGAAGCACCACGGAATGAGGGGAGCATTGACCTACGAACTGGGCTAAGTGATCACTTATTCATTATCATGCTCTCCTCCCACAGCACCTTGAGATTCCTAGGATGAACTCATGTACTCTCATAGAACTGAATCTGGCTGCTTCAATATCTGGGTTGTGTCATTGTTTCCTGAGTTCCATTTACTGAATTCTTTGTTATCGATTCATTATTATCTGTATATATTCTACTGATTACATGCACAAATTTTCATGGCTGACTTGGGTGTCCATGTTTCACCATTCTAACTGTCAAGCTCTGATGTTTGTGTGAGTAATAAGTGTTATCTGTGTTAACATGGCTATGATAGTATACTATCATAACCTGGGAACTATCTTTTTATAGTAGTGGGGGTGTCCAGCCAAGTGTGCCTAGGAATATTATATATTTTGTAGTGCCAAAACTTGAGTTGCCCTACTCCTGAAATAAGTTGAGCGTATATTGGCCACGGGGCATCTCTTAGACCAATACGAGCCAACGACTCAACATAATTATTTCAGAGTGCTGTTGGTTCTTAAGGAGAAATCCTTAAATCAGGCACGCGACAGGAGCGATATGTGACATCTGCCTACATTCAATTTAACAAACATGTCAAGTCGCCTGCCTTCAGCAGTTCTTCAGTAACATCACTATCGTCTGCTGCCTTGAGCAGTTCTTCAGTAACTTCACTATCGTCTGCTGCCTTGAGCAGTTCTACAGTAACATCTCTTTCGTCTGCTGCCTTGAGCAGTTGTACAGTAACATCAATATCCTCTCTGCCTTGTGCAATTCTATAGTAACATCACTATCGTCTGCTGCCTTGTGTAGTTCTATAGTAATATCACTATCGTCTGCTGCCTTGATCAGTTATACAGTAACATCACTATCGTCTGCTGCCTTGAGCAGTTCTACAGTAACATCTCTTTCGTCTGCTGCCTTGAGCAGTTCTACAGTAACATCACTATCGTCTGCTGCCTTGAGCAGTTCTACAGTAACATCACTATCGTCTGCTGCCCTATTGTTTTGAAAGGAATTGATTGCCTTCCTGACTTCTTTGTCATTTATCTGTTCTATATTTACTGGTAATTTGTACGTATTTTGCCTTGTCATCAGAATTCATTAGTCCTCATGGGCTATGTCTATTCAATGTCTTTTGGACGTGTTTTGCCCATCCTTTCTTTTGTGTAGTCTTACATACGCTTAGAGAAGTACGAATGCATCATCATCATCATTATGTAGCAGGTCCTTTGCAGAACGGCTCTCATCACGGTCTGCCCAAAAGAAACTCCGCCTCTTGCCAGCTCGCCCCACTTTATGTACTGTCATACCCAAGGAGTCACTTATATCCTGTGCCTATCTTTGTGTTATTCGACCCCTGCCCCTCCTTCCTGGAACATGCCTTTTGCTATTATTTTTTTTTTTCAATCCATCGTGGCGTTTGATGTGACCAAAATATTTCAGCTTATGAGACAGGATGATGTTTATTAGCCAATCTTCCTTGATGTTCAGATCTTTCAGGATGTTAGTATTTCTTCTCCTCTTCTTTGTCCAAGATATTATGAGAATCCTCCTATAGCTCAAAACCCACTATTCTCTTTCTTAAAGACTGGAAGATAGTCCACGACTCACATCCGTTTGTTGCTACAATCAATGTGACTGTTAATGGGACGAATTCCTCACGTTAACGAAACCCCGATCTGAAGTAATGCAGCACATTTTTGTAGATGTTTCAGCCGATGATGACGAGTTTGTTTTGTTCTTAGCGAAGTTCCTCTTTGATGCTACAAAGTCAACAGATAATGGCAGCTACATTTTTTACTTAAAAACTAAGTTCACTGAAGAAAATCATCATGTTTCCAATGTTCTGCACCAATACGATCAAATCTGGAGGTGTGTTGACATATAACGAAGTGTTTATTTTCAGCTTTAACGATTGGGCCATTCTTCGTATAGGGAAAAAAATGGGGACTGATAAATATTTATCGATACTTAAGAGTAAGACAGAACAAATCAGTCACTCAAAAATAATTTAGAAAGACGTAAAAAAAAAAAAAAAAAACAAGAATTTTAAAAAATGCCTTGCATCGGATAGTTTTAGTAATATTTTGATAATTAAAACAATTTTAATAAAACAAAGCTAAGAAGAAAAAGTCAGAATTTGAAAACTCAGTTACTGTATAAAAATTATGCATAATTACTTTAATTTTCCTCCTAACCGAGTCCATAATAATGTGCCGTGCACTGCGTGCAGTTTGCTCAAAGTGCTTCATTCAGTACTTGTCTAGAACCAGAATAATGCTGGCTTCAACAACAACATGTATTGATATGATAATTCGACCCTGAAGTGCATGTCATTCCGTTCGTGTTGCATAAGTGGGGAAAAAACAAAACAAGGCAGCTTGCCAAGATATCAAACTGGAGCCTGGAACATTATAATATTGAGAATAATAAACGAAGCACGTTGACGCGTGACTAGAATGTTCTACTACATGTAAGGTGACAGTTTTATTGTCTGATGTACAAACTGTTATCGGAGAAATTATTGAATCATCTACTCGAGGTTGTCTATATAAACATCTTACAGATATAGACAGGACTGAATGGAAGGCGATAGTTTTCAAAGGCAATCATCACTGGTCAGTTAGGACGGAAACTGAGCCTCATTGAACAGCCGCTAAAATTTTAGTGTAACAACCGTTACACAAAAACTAGTTTTAATATTTTTGTATTTGCAGACATTTGAATATCATTACGATCATGGCAAATATCGTGGAGTCTTTAAGCAAACTGGATACCCTTCCAAAGCGGGTGCAATTTTTGGCGGACAATTGTCCAGATAGAGAGCTGTTTGTGTTTTACGAAGGAGAGAACCGAACCTCGTTTACATGTGAGCAAGTCGTGAAGTTGGCCGGAAGGTTTGCAAGCAGATTACGTCATCGTTACGGCTTCTTACGTGATGACGTCATTGCCAACACCTTACCTAACTCACCTGAAAGGGTTATCAGTGACCTTGGCATTACTCTAGCCGGATGTATTTAAGTAAATTTAAATTTAAGTAAATTTATACATTTACATTTTTATTTTTTAAATGTAACTGTCTTTCTGTTTTGTCCCATTTCAAGTTCTGCACATGTGCCGAGCCATAGATCATGGTATACCAGGGTCAGGTTTGATAGTAGTCACGACCTATGTACACCTCTACGTAGTCATTGAAGAAACAGTTGGCCAGCTGGCAACTTTGCCAATGTAAGTAGGATCGACTGTTCCTTCCACGTAGGAGTGCGTCTGTCTCAGAGGCAATGAATCAATAGTCTGCACACAACTAAGCCAGATCTGGATATCGGATGTGTACGCAACATCCAAGTCACGGATCCTAACAAACGTCGGAAGTGGACCAACAATCATCCTTGCCCGCTTAAGTTTACCCCCGGGAAAAAAACACGAAGAAGAGGTGACGTAACATTGCAATTGTTGACTGTGCTTGTTTCTGTGACATCTGTTTTACATTCTTATTCGTAGAAAAAGTGATTTAAAACAAAATCACAAACTGTTGCTAGAGAGCGCAACTTTCTCCTTCTTCACGTTTAGAGTATGTTTCAAAAGTCGTGGTCTCACACTGTAACAATTATTATTGTTACATAATTCTGAACAGGCTGCAAGTCAAATCTCAACATCTTTCACCGAACGCTTACTCAGTTACAGATTGTTTAAAGTTGGGCACCACTTCGGGAACAGACTATATAGGTATTTTACGTCAGCTGAAAAAGACACAGTGTGGTAATATGTAGTAGAAAATATAGACTTTTCAGTGTTGCGTCCCTTCTGATTGAAAGTAGGATTGTTTATATTTAATTAGCAAAAGAACCCAGACCAAATAATTTGGTTAATGTGTGTTTTTAGGATCAAACACCTGACGGTTTTGCTGATTCAAATAAAAAAATAAAAAATGATTATATACCATTCTTAATACATTCTAGAATGTGCAAGTGGTTTTTCAAAGTTTAGTATGAGCGTTAAGAAACGGATTATAAACACAATATTTCGTACTAAAACTGTACTTTAAGTGCCAGACCTGGAATTTATCAAAGTTTAGCATACCTGAAATGTACACCTCTTCTTCTTCTTCTTCTGCTTCTTCGATCCTTCTGTCAGAAAACTAATATCAGGAGGCCGGAAGCCTTTATGAAAGCTATCGTGCAGTCTATATCCTCTCGTGTACCATACAGTTTTGTCTTCATTGTGGTTGGAACAGGCCAGATTGCGTCTCTGTTGTCAGCATACAGTTGACAGTGTTGGAGCACATGTTCAGCATTTTCGGGTGCCACGCTGCAGGGACACGTCTACGTATTTCCTTCACCGACAAATTTGAACATATGTTGACGAAATACGTTGTGCCCAGTCTTTAGTCTGAATATAATGCACTGTTCCTCTCTAGAGAGGCAATGAAGTGAGTCTTGGGGAGAAAATTTGGTGTGGGTATCCAGCCACCTTTCTTGGATACTAGATTGTATTAATGTTTTCGTCTCTTGGTGGCTTAAGTCGCTATTTCGGTGTACCATGTCACTGCCGCTTCTGGCCAATCTGTCCGCTATTTCATTGCCTTCCAAGCCACAGTGACCTGGAATCCACTGCAGTACAGATTGTTCTACTGAAGAGCCTAAGGAAATCAGCTGTTGCGTCAAGTCTACAAACTGAGTGTCTTTTGGGTTAACAATTGCTCGTAGAACTGACATAGCATCAGTCAGAAAGACCACTCTGCTATATTTGCTGTGCTGTTATCCATTCAGGAAAGAACATGCCGCTAGAAGTGCTTCTGCCTCTGTTCTGTAATTGGAGGAATATGAACCTATTGGTACAGCCTGGTTGATTTTTAAACCATTTGGGCATTCTGTGTATATTCCTCCTCCTCCGTCTCTTACTGCTCTCTTGGCTGAACCATCTGTATACACTCGAATCCAACTCTGGTGTGGATAAAGTCTATTGATCTCTCCTTCTGTAGTTGATTTCATATGCTGCTCATTGATGATTTGGAGTAGATCCCTGTTACAGTCGTTCTGACTGTTGGCAGGTTATCCCTGAGCCAAAGGGGGCAGTCATTGTAAGGTTTCAGTGGAACATTTGGTATTATGGGAGGGAGTTTAAGGACAGAGAGCTTGGCATTTGCGTTCTTAATGAAACAGCGAAGCCGCCAACTTAACCATCCGAGACAAATAAATGATATTTTCAGATAACTGTGGGAACACTGCCACGCACAACTTGGTACGACTGGTTTTTTCGAGGCCGGCCACTGTGAGACGTCGTGGTCAATGCCACAATATAAAACGTCTTTATTTAAACAGGACACAATCAATTATATTTTGATTTATCAAGCTTGCAAGTCTTCTACCTCTTTTATGAGTTCAGTGAGTTTTCGCTTGGTCCTTTTCACTTCTATATTTTCATTATTTCCGATTGATCTTTATCTTTGGTCTAGTAAAAACAAAATGTTCCAGACTTGAAAAATGCCTTCATATATGGTACGACTTGAAAGCTGGATTTGAGACTTGACATAGGACTTGGTAGCAATGATTTGAGACTTCGGGTAGGACGTGGTAGCAATGAGTTCGCACTTGGTGGCAATGATTTGAGACTTGACGTAGGACTTGGCAGCAATGAGTTCGCACTTGGTAGCAATGATTTGAGACTTGGCGTATGACTTGGTAGCAGTGAGTACGCACTTGGTGGCAATGATTTGAGACTTCGGGTAGGACTTGGTGGCAATGAGTTCGCACTTGGTGGCAATGATTCGAGACTTGACGTAGGACTTGGTGGCAATGAGTTCGCACTTGGTGGCAATGATTTGAGACGCGACTTGAACTTGCAGTAAAAGTAAAGGTCCCTTTTCCACGTTTTTAGGCATAGAGGGCATATAGGACTAGACCTATATTTTTATAGACCAATCGGCACAAGATGGGTGATGTGGTCAGCATCACGCCGGCCGCCTTTACTTGCCGGGACTGCACCTAGTACCCACTCAAGGCTGGGTCGGTCTGGGAGTCAAGGTCATTTTTGAAAAAAAAAACTCCGGCTCCGTCTGGGAGCGAACCCATGACCTTCCGATCCGTACGCGAGAGTCTAGCCGCTACGCCACAGCGACTCCCTTGAACTTGCAGTTAACGACCTAATCCAACGCACGATAGAGCTAAACTATCAGTCTATATCCCTACAGATTCTCCTGGCTGACGGCTCTGACATATTTCTGTCGGCTACAAATAGCCGATGCAAGGGGATTGTGATGAAACCACCTGGGGAATCATCAGACTGGCTGATTTTCAATCCCTACATCACAGGAACCGTGTCAGATGACATCACTAAGTTGTCATGTGACAAGATACCTGACTTGACTACAATAATCAAAGTCTCCAGGAACAGCCAGAGGTAGGTTAATACCCGTTCGTACCTCTGAGTTCCATCACTCTGCTATCTTTGATTGTCTATGGCCCTGTGGATACAATCAGTTAACTATCCCTACTCCTTTTCATTCACTTTTTTTGCTGTCCTCTTTATCTTCTTTGTCTTGTTCTTGTTTTTCTTCTTGTTCTTCTTCTAGTGTTTGTTGCGCTTCTTCTTTTTATCGTCATCATCATCATCGTCATCATCATCATCCGCGTCATCTCGGTTTTTTTTGAATGAAACATAGGCACTCGCCCAAGTCGCGCCAAGTAATGCTAACGTTTGCCATCATGAACTCTTCCCGGTTCTTACTGATATTCTGCCATCTCATTCTCAGGTTCTCTTTGTCCCGTGTTTAATATCTGCTTTAATCACATTGACTCTATTAGTTCTAGTGCATTGACATTCTAGTTATAATGTGATCTCATGGTTTCATGTGTATAACTCCTGCGTTTTTTAAATAAATATTTTAAATAAAAAATTTAAATGTAAGTCTTTTGGGGGGTAGGGGGGGGGGGGGGCATTGATAAAGCAGAAACTGTATCCCATCCCACAATCACAGGCTGTAGGATTTCAATCTCAATGATGAGAATCAGACAGGAACATTTTCGTCGTTCAGCCGGGTAACACAATGATATTGCTCTGTTGAAGCACATCATTGGTGAAGCACACAGACATGAGCCTCGCAGCTTCAATTAAAAACAAATTTTTTCATTGGGTTTAATATTGTAAAAAAAAAAAAAAAAAGCTAGATGGCCAACCGATAGTGCAAATCCAACCTCCAAGGAAGTTCTAATTTGGGCAGCTGCAATATCTACACCAAGTACTACCCTTGTGTGCTCTGTAGTCCTGTGCAGGGTATCGCAAGTAGTCATGTCAGAGTTTAAGGGTGTAGTTGTAATGTGACGGAATCCCAAAGGGGTCAGCAGTATGAAGAGTTAGGGTCAAGGAGCAGATAATTGAGAGAAAGGACGCCTGGAAATTCCCATGTTTGGATGAACGACTGCTAGGGAAAAACCCGTGGGAAGGGAACAAAGGTTTGAAGGTGAGAAAGGATAATAATATGAAGAACTTCACAGGGGAGCATACACAGCAGGGGTCCACCGTCATCAGTAGAGAGATCCTTCGTCGACGATTGTTTCGGCCCACAACTTCCTAGACTATCTCGGAATGTGGGCCCGACCTGGTTCATGACTCCAGGCCTCGATCTTCCCCTGCTGCACTTTATCGGACTCGATAGAAACAAGACGATATGGTGAATTTGCAACAAGTATCGTGACATTTGGTGTTATATTGTCGCTGGCGTAGCAAATTAGATCAGTTGACTACCTTTACGACCAGAGTGAAGGTTAGCCATTCTACAGACAGAGACCGAGCGCTGTCGAGATAGAATCAGTTGGTATCTGACAGTTTGGAAGACAGGTTGCTTCAATGGAGTGACTGAGGTGAACTTCGATTGTTAACTGAGAGAGCAATTACCTGCAACCCCAGGGAATGTCTGAAAAGAATTGATTCAGTCTAGCGACTGTAAACATTTGTGGCACTCTGATCCAGATGTAAGATCCCCGTGTCAGTGCAAGATCCAGATGCAAGATCCCCGTGTCAGTGCAAGATCTAGATGTAAGATCCCCGTGTCAGTGGAAGATTCAGATGCAAGATCCCCGTGTCAGTGCAAGATCCAGATGCAAGATCCCCGTGTCAGTGCAAGATCTAGATGTAAGATCCCCGTGTCAGTGGAAGATTCAGACTGAAAGATAACTGCATCTATTGTCTAGCTGTAGTCCTGTCTTGGCAGTAAGTCGTGAGCGAGCTGTAAACGACCAGGGAGAACCTAGGACATTGACTGGATGACTCAGCTGATACACTACAATACATTGTACCAACGTGTTCGTCGTGTTTCCACTATACCTCTGTGTGTCCATACTTGACATCATAACGGAGGGAAGTATAGAGAGTCAAGATAAGTCCTGATTGAGCCAGAGAGCCACAATATCTCAGTCATCTGCCTCTATCTACTCTCAGAGAATGTTTACATTTTATGTCGACAGATCTCGCAAATCGTTTCTTGAAGACCTACAGGACAGCACTGACGACATCTTCATTGATTCTTCAGTGAGCTCCCAAGATATCCACTACGTGTTTACTACATCGGGCAGCACTGGCTACTCCAAGCTGGTACCTCGAACACAAGCCGAGAGTCTTGTTATCACTGCCGATTTAGCATTTTCCAAAGACATCCAGAGTGGAACAAGTGTCTACTATTGTGATCGTAGCCTGGGTGAATATCTTATCTTTTTTTTTTCGTATCTTAGCCTGAGCAAATATCTATATTTTTTACGATAATAAAAGTCAAGTACATTACTCTTGTGTATAACTGAGTGTTTCATCAATGGCATATCCTCATTATTTTCTTCTTATTCTTCCTTTTCATCATCGAAACAATTTCTTCCTTTTTGTCCCTCGTTGTTCTTCGTCAGTCCCCCATGTCTGGTAGCAAGTTTAAAGTAAATATCTGGGCAGATTGCTTTGCTCGATGATCGAATCTTTTGATACATTGTGGGTAGCGTAATATATTTGTTATTCTGCTCCTACTCCTTGTCTACCTACTCTTCCTAGTGGTTTGTTGCGTCAAAGCTCTCACTGTCCTTTTCTTCTATTACGCATAACCTGTTTCGTTGGGACCACTTGCTTAATTAGCTTTTTATTTTGTTCAGTTTTTTTTTTCGTTACTCCTCGTTGGGCTTTTTAATGACAGTTTCTGTTGGGTTTAGATACTTTTTTTTAAAAACAGTCAGGGGATTGTGTGTGTGGGGAAAAAAGGGGAGGGGAGGCTGCAAACGTAGTTTAAATGTACGACATTATTTTCCCTTGCTACAGGTTTCGCTTTGTTTGTGTCTTGCCAGGTTGGTTGGGGGGCTACCCTTTTACAACATTCTGTCTGGGAGAGAAGAGAGTCCTAAAGGACTGCTACAACAGACCCGGACTGAAAACAGGAGAGGAGATCTGGAACGCCATATACAGAGAACAGTGTAATATATCTGGTATTCGCCAGGTCGACGTAGAGAGTGTGATCAAATACGTTAAGAGCATCGGTGGCACAGACCACAAAATGAAGGCCATTATCTGTGGCGGACAGCCAGTGACAAAGGTATTATACTCCAGTTAGAGAAGTCAGTCTTGTTATATCGCGATATCTTATGTCCACTCTCCTTATGGGTTCCGGGGTCTCAATGTGGGAAAAACAACAACTAAACCCCTTCCTCCCCAACTAGCATGTGGTTCGAATTTGGAGTGCATCTGCCCAAGCGGGAAGGAACAACCAGCTGCCCTCATTTAAGCTTGTAAAACGTATTTACACGCAAAAGCCAGGCCCTACAACAAAGCCGAAATAGACCAGCAACTAGGACTTGACCCCAGAGCTTAGAGTCGATGAACAGAGAAAAAGAAAAAGCAGAAGATAATCCACGAAAGATAAGTCTGTCTGAGAATAGGAAGCGTTTTCTTATTGTTGGTTATATTAATAGACAAATGAATAAACAAGTTACTGAATGAACGAATAAGTCAATAAATTAATTAAAGATAAAGCAGATATCCCGTAGCCTTCTTCATAGCCAAACAAACTGATTGTCCACCCATTTGCCACTTTAGAGGACGTCGTCTTTTAATATCCGTCTTGAGGCGTTGGTAATCTATTGTGTCTACTAGTCTTCAGACATGTGTACTGTCAATAGTGATGACACAGACGTTCTTCCATGGAACAATGCCAAACTGTGCCCTTTCGTTACACTTACTATCGGTACACTTACTATCGTTACACTTACTATCGTTACACTTACTATCGGTACACTTACTATCGTTACACTTACTATCGTTACACTTACTATCGTTAACTTCACACTTAACTATCGTTACACTTACTATCGTTACACTTACTATCGGTACACTTACTATTGTTACACTTACTATCGTTAACTTCACACTTAACTATCGTTACACTTACTATCGGTACACTTACTATTGTTACACTTACTATCGTTACACTTACTATCGTTACACTTACTATCGTTACACTTACTATCGTTACACTTACTATCGTTACACTTACTATCGTTAACTTCACACTTAACTATCGTTACACTTACTATCGTTACACTTACTATCGTTACACTTACTATCGTTACACTTACTATCGTTACACTTGGTCTCCATAAGCCTCTTTTCTTCCGCTTCTGTGTTGCCAGTCTAACTGTTCTCAGAACGTTGCCAAGGAATGCAGATTTTCTCATGCTGGTGAGAGTAGTCTGTTCTTATTGTAAGGTAATTTCTATCAAGACATCCTCGTTACTCTGTGTGTCTATTCATTGTGTTCTCGTCATTTGTTTTTAAATGACATCTCTTCAGCTTCGACATTCTTTCAGTAATCAGCTGAGTGTTGACACTGTTTCATTAATCAGCTCAGTGTTGACATTGTTTCATTAATCAGCTCAGTGTTGACATTGTTTCATTAATCAGCTGAGTGTTGACAATGTTTAATTAATCAGCTGAGTGTTGACATTGTTTAATTAATCAGCTGAGTGTTGACATTGTTTCATTAATCAGCTCAGTGTTGACATTGTTTCATTAATCAGCTCAGTGTTGACATTGTTTCATTAGTCAGCTGAGTGTTGACAATGTTTAATTAATCAGCTGAGTGTTGACATTGTTTAATTAATCAGCTGAGTGTTGACACTGTTTCATTAATCAGCTCAGTGTTGACATTGTTTCATTAGTCAGCTGAGTGTTGACAATGTTTAATTAATCAGCTGAGTGTTGACATTGTTTAATTAATCAGCTGAGTGTTGACACTGTTTCATTAATCAGCTCAGTGTTGACATTGTTTCATTAGTCAGCTGAGTGTTGACAATGTTTAATTAATCAGCTGAGTGTTGACATTGTTTAATTAATCAGCTGAGTGTTGACATTGTTTCATTAATCAGCTAGTGTTG